TCTTGTTAGGATGTCCATCAAATGCATGCATTTCCTGCCCTTACTCTGAATAGTCACAGTGGTCTGCGACCACACTGTGCCAGAGTGAGGCACAGACGCCAGCCGCAGCCACCCCGGCAACCATCGTCTGTGCTCACTCTGAATGGGGTAAGGCACTCCCTAATGGTTTTTGTTTGTTTATTTGTATTTATTTATTTTTTGGAGACAGGGTTTTGCTATGTTGCCTAAGCTGGCCTTGGACTCTTCATGTTGCCCAACATCAAACTTGGAGCAATCTTCCAGCCTTAGAACTCACGGTGTCCTAGCCTCACACACACACACAGCCGTCTAGCCTCAGCCTCTTGGATGCTGGGATTACAGGTATGTGCTCCCATGCCTCGCAATCCCAACCAGTACTTTTATTTTATTTTTTATTTCCCTATTATTAATTTGTTTATATGTGTATGGGTTTGTGTACGTGGTGTATATGTGGGTGGCGTATCTGCACACACGTGTGCATATGTATATGTACGTATGTGGGTGTGAGTGTGCCATAGCCTGCTTCTGGAGGTCAAAGGACAACCTGTGGTGGGTGCCTCTGTCCTTCTATCTTTATGTGGGTCCCAGGGATCCAAGTCAGGTTGTCTGACTTTCTGGCGGGCGCCTTTACCAGCTAAACTGTCTCTCCATCCCCCAAGAACAATGTTCTACAGAAATTAAATTCCATGTCCTTGGTTATTAGTGCAGTTGAAGGGAACGCAGCATGTAAAACTGGCCCATACATGCAGAACATCCCGGGGGGCTGGTGCATGGCTGCAGGCTTGGGAAGGCTCCACTGGGCAGATGAACTAAAGGGAAATCCGGGAGGGATATGAGGCAGAAGAACCTGAGGCAAAGGCCTGGAGGTCAGAAGTAAAGTTTCTCCCCCAAAGGCAGCTAGGTGTGGGTTGTGGGGGCTAGAGTAGCCTCGGGTACTGAAGACCCAGCTTTGGACCTTGTGTGTTCAGGCAGCCTCGTTCACGGCAGTGGACAGGAGGTTAAGCTGCCTCATAAACACACAACAGGAGTCCCGTATGCCGCTGGAATTTTTCCTTTGCCAACACAGAAAGAAAAGGGGGGGATGGGGAGAATTATATACTTTGCTGAAAGATATATATTTATATATCTATCTATATCTATCTATCTATCTATCTATCTATCTATCTATCTATCTATCTATCTATCTATCTATCTATATCTGACAGTGGTAGGGTGATTGTGAGTGTTCAAGGCCCCATATTTGATTCCCTGGGACCATAAAAATAAATAAGTAGAAAAACAGAGCAAGTGTAGTGGCGCATTCCTTTAATCCCAGCACTTGGGAGGCAGAGGTGGGTGGATCTCTGAGTTCGAGACCAGCCTGGTCTACAGAGCAAGTTCCAGGATAACCAGGGGCTACACTGAGAAACCTTGTCTCAAAAAACTAAAAAATAAGAAAGAAAGAAAGAAAAACAAACAGGTGAAGGGGCTGGTGAGATGGCCCAGATGGTAAAGTGTTTGCTGTTTTTGACTTGAGTTCTGATCCCCAGCATCCACATTAAAAAAGAGAAAATTAAACAAATTAAAGTAACTAGATATGGTGTATACCTGCCATTATACCACTTTGGAGCCAGAGACAGAAGGATCCCTGGGACTTGGTGACCAGCCAGTTAAGCTGAATTGGTGAGCTCTGGGAGAGAGACACTGTCTCAAAAAATTAAGGTGGAAATTGATTGAGGAAAGCATTGGATACTGACTCCTGCCTCCACACACACAAGCATATGCACATCCATACACATAAAAACTCATACAGGCACAGGAGAGAAAAATAAAAAGTAACAGAGGCCGGGCTTGGTGGTTCAGGCTCTTCATCCCAGCACTTGAGAGGCAGAGGCAGGCAGATCCCTGTGAGTTCGAAGCCAGCCTGGTCTAGGTAGAGAAATCCTGTCTCAAAGAAATGAAAAATGAAGTGTATTTGTCAGCTTATCCGCTCACAGAGGCTGACTTCCTCTGTTTCTTCCTAGGCTGAATTTCCTCCTGCAAAAAGGATAAGTAATGTTTTGTCAGTAAAGGTCTCTTAGTGGACAGTTCTATTTTGGGTGTCATTTGGTTGGTTTGTTGGGTACAGATATAGTTAGCCCTGGCTGACTTCGAACTCCATATATACTGCAAGTCATTTATTTATTTGTTTATTTTTGAGACAAGGTTTCCCTAGGCCTCAGGGCTGGGCCTGAGCTCAACCTGTCATCCAGACAGGCCTCTTGAGTTGCTAAATTCACACACCTTACTCACCAGGTATCCAATTCCTTTTGTTGCTTAACTTTGAAATCATATTTGTTATCTTTATTAGTCCCAGCGCTGGGGAGGCAGAGGCATGCATTTGAGGCCAGCCTGTGTACAGAGCAAGTTTCAGGACAGCCAAGGCTACACAGAGAAACCTGTCTCAAAAAAAAAAACAAACAAAATTTTATTTATTTATTTATCCATTCATTCATTCATTCATTCATTCATTCATTCATTTGTGTGTGTGCATGCATGGGCGTGTGCGTGTGTGCGCGCGTGTGTCTGTGGCAGGGTTGGGGGAGATGCCATGGTGTATGGACATATGGAAGCAAGAGGACAATGTTCATTCCACCACATGAGGTCCAGGGACTGAACTCAGTGTGGGGCTCTGCCAGGAGTGCTGTTCTCTACCTGCTGAGTCATCTCATCCACCTATGGTCTCCTTTTTATTTTATTTTTTTTAAAAGTTTGTTTGGGGTTTGTTTGTTTTGTTTTTATGAGACAAGGTCTTACTTTGTAACTGTCCTGGAGCAAGCATGCTATGTAGATCGGTGGGCTTTGAGCTCACAGACATGCCTCTGCCTTGAGAGTGCTGGGCTAAAGGCATGCACTACCGTGCCCAGCTAAAGGTTCATTCATTTTATTTTATGTGTATAAGTGTATACACATAAAATTATATGCCTGCATGCATATAAGTGCACTGTGGAGGCCAGAAGAGGGTATTGGATCCCTTAGAACTGGAGGGTTACATGTGGTGATCAGCAGCCTCCATATACCCACAGGTCCTCTGGAGGAATAGCTCTTAGCCTCTGAGCCATCTCTCCAACCCTCCTTTTATTTTTATTTATTTGTTTTTTATTTGTGCTTTTTTGTTTCTTTCGTTGTTGGTTTTTTGAGATAGGGTTTCTCTGTGTAGCACTGGCTGTCCTGGAACACGCTCTGTAGACGAGGCTGGCCTCGAACTCATACCTGCCTCTGCCTACCGAGTGCTGGGACTAAAGGCGTGCGCCGCCACCTCCATCCTGCTCTTCTTTTAATTCTTTATAAAGTATCTTCAAGACTTTAACAAAACTCTTGCAAATAAAACAGTACTCTTGCTTGCTCATTGCTCATCCCTGTGCTTATGAGTTCAAATTCCATGGGGCCCTAGATGGAACAATCCCACATTATCTGTTTAGGAAATTTGTCTTTCTAGAGGAGTATTTACTTTGCTTTCTTATGAAGTTTAATAATGCCTTGAACAGCCGGGTGGTGGTGGCGCACGCTTTTAATCCCAGCACTCGGGAGGCAGAGCCAGGCGGATCTCTGTGAGTTCGAGGCCAGCCTGGGCTACCAAGTGAGTCCCAGGAAAGGCACAAAGCTACACAGAGAAACCCTGTCTCGAAAAACCAAAAAAAAAAAAAAAAATGCCTTGAACAATGTTTACTTGTCCTAAGTTTTTTCTCCAATATTCAGGACATGCTTATATTAAAAAAAGATTCATTATCTGATATTCAAATTAACGGGACTTCTCCATCTTATATCTAGAGTACAGTTGTTAAGACAGGGCTTCACATAGCCAAAGATGACTTTGAACTGACCCTCCTGCTGTCACCCCCAAGTGCTGGGACTACAGGTGTGTGCACCAGTTTGTGCAGCGCTGGGGACTGAACCCAGGGTTTTGTGCACGCTAGGCATTCCTTACATGAGTATAAAAAAAATTGTTTTTGAAACAGAGTTTCACTATGTAGCCCAAACTGGCCTCCAATTCACAGAGATCTGCCTACCTTGGCCTCCCAAGTGCTGGGATTAAAAGCATGCACCACCCTGCCCCACAAAATATAAAGCAGGTTTGGTGGTGCACACCTGCCTATAATCCCAGCTGCTTTGGAACCTGAAACAGGAGGATCTTGACTTCAAGGCTACCTTGTGGGACCATGTCTCAAAAATGAAAAAAGAAAAACTGACCAGCGAGATGTCTTAGTGAGTAAAAATGCTTGGTGTGCAAGCCTGGTGCCCTGAGTTCAATTCCCAGAACCCATAGAAGAAGGAGAGAACTGACTCCTGACCTCCACACACACTCTGTGGCACATACATATCACATGTGAGTGCATACATGTACATGTACTTGTGAACACGTGCACATGCACACACCCCCCAATAATAATAATAAATAATAGTAATAAATAATAATAAAATAAAATAGTATCCCTAAATCTTCACTTCCATTTCTTTTTTTTAATTTTTATTTATTCATATTTTATGTATGAGTGCTCTGCTTGTATGCATGTATGCCAGAAGAGCGTATCAGATCCTATTACAGATGGTTGTGAGCCACCACGTGAGTGCTGGGAATTGAACCAGGTCCTCTAGAAGAGCAGCCAGTGCTCTTAACCACTGAGCCATCTCTCCAGCCCCTCACTTCCATTTCTTATTGGTTTTGTTGTCTTGGCTGTTGGTCCCTGGGGATACCCCTTGGCTGAAAAAGGAAATTTTAGGATTTGTCACTTTAGAAAACAAAACATCAAAAATCTTGCAGGTCACTTCTGCTAATTGGAAACTGGAAGACTTGGCTTGGAGAAAAGACTGCATGCTTGCCAACAAAATATAAATGGATGCTTTCAGCACGTGGGCAAATGCTTGATTAGTGTCAGCTCTCAGGCGAGGTCATCACTGTTAACATCCAAAGACTCTTTTCTCCCTGTCTACAGCCAAGGTTTCTGTGCCAGAACCCGTAGAAGCCAAAGCCTGTCCATGGAGGGATGCTGGGGATTGGAGGTGACCAATGGCTCAAAGAGTGGCTTGGAGTTCAACCCGATGAAGGACTACATGATCCTGAGTGATGCCCAGAAGATAGCTGTGGCGGTGCTGTGTACCCTCCTGGGCCTGCTAAGTGCTCTGGAGAACGGGGCAGTGCTGTATCTCATCCTGTCCTCCCAGCGGCTCCGCAGGAAGCCCTCCTACCTGTTCATCGGCAGCTTGGCTGCAGCCGACTTCCTGGCCAGTGTGATCTTTGCCTGCAACTTCGTCATTTTCCATGTCTTCCACGGCGTTGACTCCAAGGCCGTCTTCCTGTTGAAGATTGGCAGCGTGACCATGACCTTCACAGCCTCTGTGGGCAGCCTGCTGCTGACTGCTGTGGATAGATATCTATGTCTGTGCTACCCACCCGCGTACAAAGCTCTAGTCACCCGTGGGAGGGCACTGGTGGCCCTTTGTGTCATGTGGGTCCTCTCGGCATTGATCTCCTACCTGCCACTCATGGGATGGACTTGTTGTCCTAGTCCGTGCTCTGAGCTTTTCCCTCTCATCCCCAATGACTATCTCCTGGGCTGGCTCCTGTTCATTACCATCCTCTTCGTCGGCATCATCTACACCTATGGCTATGTTCTCTGGAAAGCCCACCAGCATGTAGCCAGCTTGGCAGAGCATCAGGACAGGCAGGTGCCTGGGATAGCTCGGATGCGGCTAGATGTGAGGTTGGCCAAGACCCTGGGGCTGGTACTGGCTGTTCTGCTCATATGCTGGTTCCCTGCATTGGCTCTTATGGGCCATAGCCTGGTCACCACACTGAGTGACCAGGTCAAGGAGGCCTTTGCCTTCTGTTCCATGCTGTGCCTGGTTAACTCTATGGTCAACCCCATCATTTATGCCCTTCGAAGTGGAGAGATCCGCTCTGCTGCTCAGCACTGCCTGGTAGGCTGGAAGAAGTATCTACCGGGCCTCGGGCCTGAGGGAAAGGAAGAAGCGCCAAGGTCCTCAGTTACGGAGACAGAGGCTGATGTGAAAACCACCGCCGTGCCTGGTTCCAGGAGTCCGGGCTGCTCCAATTGCTGACGGCACCATTTTTCCTATTGGAAACGGCCTGAGTGAGAAATCAGCTCACTCCCTCAAGGAGAGGGGCATCCCAGATCCTGACTCTTTCTGGAATCAGCTCTAGGGGACCCAGACCCCTTTTTGCAGGGAGTGCTTGACTTCGTGGCTGGAAGTCATGTCTACCTGCACAGACCATGGCAGGCTCTCTTCACATCAAGTCAGGAGGGACCAAGAAGCCAGAGGGGCCTCCAGGAACCGTAATAAAGGATTCATAGACTATCTGAGAAGATGAAGGACCTGTTCTCCTGGGATCACAGAGTACCCTGGCCATGGTGGTCACTGCCCGCAAATTCATCAGTGTCCACGTCTTCTATGGTGTGGATTCCAGGCTGTCTTGCTGAAGACTGGCAGTGAGTTCTGGTTCCTGCTTCGTTGTTTGGGACTCCGTAGCTGTAAAGCTATGTGAGGGTCCATCTTCAGGTCACCCTTGCCTCTTGAAGATCAAGAATTACAGTGTGCTGAGGATCAAGGATGTTGACTCAGACAGTCACAGGCCGTCAGCTCAGGGTGTCTTGTTGGGCAAGGGCCCTTCTGATACCCTGATAAGCCTTGAAGTCATTTCAAGTTTAGGTCCTTGGGGACCCAGAGGAAGCTGGGTTCACTGGAGGTACAGAATCTTCAGGGAACTGCATTGACCTTGTGTCATTCTGCTGTGTGTAGTGTGGCAGTATCCCAGCTAGCCTAGCTCCAGTAAAATGCAAGATATTCACAAAGATTCTCTGGGTCCTAGATTGCTCCCAGTGATGCTCAACTTAGCCTCCTTGCCTCTTCCACACTCTGGTCCTGCAGGTAGAGGGAGCTGGGGAGGGGAGACTTCCTGCAATGGTCCAGGCACAGGCTGACATCCTCTATCCGCAGCCCCATGCTGTCTCCCCAGGTACCTGAATTTTACCTTCATCAAGGGGCATCCCCAACAGAGGGAGGTTCAAGACACTGCTGGTGGCAGGAGGGGTAGCCTGGGGACCACAGCACAGTGAAGGGAAAGCTATCCATTAAATGTCATTTAACACTTACAGAGCGATGTGTTCCCTGCCCATTTGCTCCTTCATCTGCGACATAAATATGTGCGTGTGGGCTTCGGGCCAGTCCTGGATATCCCGTCGTGAAGGAGACGGACCCCATCTGGGGCTTGCAGTCTACATTCTGATAAGAAGTGAGTCAGGAATGCTGAGCTTGGAGGCAAAGGACTGTCAATTCTAGCTCCTTAAGAGGTTGAGACAGGAAGTTCCTAAGTTCAAAACCTGCCTGAGCTGTACATGGAGTTCAAGTTCAGTTTAGGCAAGTTGGTGGGATCCAGTATCAAAATGAAAAAAAATAAACGAAGGGCTGGAGCTGGGCATAGTGGTGCACAAATACAACCCCGGTGTTCAGGTAGAACTGCTGAAAGTTTAAGGTCAGCCTCACATAGATGAAAAACTGTCTTTTTTTTTTTTTTTTTTAATGTGTAGGGGTGTTTTGCTGCATGTATGTCTGTCGATGTACCACATGTATGTCTGGTGTTCACAGAGACCAGAAGAGGGCATCAGATCCCTTAGAACTGGTGTTACCAGACAGTGGTAAGCAGCCCTGTGGATGCTGGGGATCAAACCTGGGTCCTCTGGAAGAACAGCGAATGCTTTTAACCTCTGACCATCTCTCAGGCCCTGAACCCAGCTCTTAACACTTTCTCCTTTTGCTTTAAGTAGAGAGGCAGCGTTTATGAAGGGGAAGAGGAAGGCAAGGGCCTTGGGTAGAGATGGGAAGTAGCCTTGTTGTTTAGATGATGATCCAGCCAGCGAGGAGACCTGCCGATTGCCCAGAGAAACCAATGAGGTCCAGTGCAAAAAACTCAGCCTCCCTAATAATACAGGTCTGTCCACTCTGCTACAGACCCTCCCACAGGCCTCTGCAAGACGACATTTTGGTTTCTCTGTGGGGTCAAATGAAGGACATAGTACCCCATTTTATTCTCCCCAAGACAAGTTCTGTGCATCAAAAGTCATTGCACATTCTAATGCTGTTTGGAAGGACGAAGGGGGAGAAGTTGATCTTTTTTAAAGTCCTCTGTGCTTAGTGTTTTGGAGCGTATTTCATCATTAACTTGGGACGGAAGAAACAGAAAATACCCCATGTTTCCTCATTACTTCCTAAAGGAGGAAGCACTTGGTCTGCCAACATAAACTCTGATTTTCTCCAAGGTGCCAGACAGAGTGGGTGGAGAGATGCCTACCACCGCTGTGGATTCTGGTACCACCTTTGGCCTACACTTCCGTGATCCTGGGCACCCCCCTGCCCTTCTCCTTGTCTTGATTTCCTCCTCAGTCAGTTGGGAAAGGTAGGGAAGAGGATGCCCTCAAGGAGTGGTAAACCTCTTATTGCTCTAACATGCGGTGGTTGCCTCAGCAACCGTGGAGCCAGCCGGTTGTGCCATATGGACCATGTGACTTCTGGCTTGCATACTTCCTGCCGCTATGCACACACACACACACACACACACACACACACACACACACATACCCCATTGGGTGTGTGCTGATAGTAGAAGAACCAGGTGGCTTGTCAAAACAAGTTTTGCAGAGGTTCCTGGGGCAAGGGGGTCTCTTGGCTCTCAAGTTTCTGGTCCTGCTATTCTAAAAATCGTCTCCCAGTGGCCCTCTGTGGGCTTGTTGGGCGGCGCTGGATTGAAGTCCAGGCCTTCCAACATGCTAAGTAAGTGCTCTACTCCTGAACTACACCCCAGCTCCTGGGTGTAGAAGCTAAGCTCTCTGAGAGGCCCTCAGGGGTTTTAGGGTGCAGCTCAGTGCTAAAGTGCTTCCTTTGCATGGTCAAATCCCTGGGGTTCAAAGGTCAGTACTGCATAAAACCAGGAGTGGTGGTGCCACTCCGACCAGCACTCAGAGGTAGAAGCAGGAGGATCAGGAATTCAAGGTCAGCCTAGCTGTAAGTTCGAGGCCAGCCTGAGCTGCATAAGACCACCCCCGCATTTCAAAATAAATTTCAGTTACAATTTAAAATTAAATTACAATGTTTAAATGACTCAGAGTTCTCAAAGTAAGCTCAATAAACGAGACAGGCCAAAATAACCATGTCTGCCCTTCCTCTTTCAGCAGCCATTTCTCTCTTCATAAAGTTTCTACCTCGTTATTTCTCTATCTTATGCAACTCGGCAATCGGCTAAGTGCCACCTGCCGGCAAAGAAACCATGGCTCCTAATTAGCCACTAAATAAAACAATCCGGTTTCAGCCTTCTCCTGAGGATTAGGGCAATAACGTGGGCTACTCCCTTTTCTCCGCACTCCCTGAGACTTTCCCGCTTACGGGAACCCGGCAATCAAGTCCCTAGCGGAGACTATGGAGTTTAAATTCAATAGATCAACGCCTCTTTGCGTCCTTCTCTCATTCAACGCCAGAGGGCGCTCCAGAGATGGCGTCTCAGACGGCACACGGGACCACAAGATTGACCCCGCCCCTTTTCCCTTCCGAGCCAATCGTCACTCAGAGAGGCGGAGCTACTGGACAGCGCCTGCGCGTTAAGAGGGACGGTGCGGGCACGGAAGCAGGGATGTGGGGGCTGAAAAGTGAAGGGCGGGTGGTGGGTATCACGCTGCTGCTGCTGCTGCTGCTGGCATCTGCGGCCCAGGCAGTGGCCCAGCGCCGCTACACCGCGAACTGGCAGAGCCTGGACTCGCGGCCACTGCCGGGATGGTTTGACGAGGCCAAGTTCGGGGTGTTTGTGCACTGGGGGGTGTTCTCGGTGCCCGCCTGGGGCAGCGAGTGGTTCTGGTGGCACTGGCAGGGCGAACGGAATCCAGCCTATGAGAGCTTTATGAGAAAAAACTACCCGCCCGGCTTCAGCTACGCCGACTTCGGACCGCAGTTCACGGCGCGCTTCTTCCACCCGGACCAGTGGGCCGAACTCTTCCAGGCTGCCGGGGCCAAGTGAGTGCGGGCGGGGCGCGAGGCGGGACGGGGCAAGCCCACGGCCGGCGCTGCCTGACCGCGGAAGGCCCCGCACCCCGCGTTCTGCATCCTGGAGGATGGAGCATTAATGCTAAAGAAGAGAGTCCTGCTGGGGATTAGTTTTAAAAATGAAGGCGGGGAAGCACTGGGTACTATAACAGTATGGAGAGAGACCAGAGCCGGACTACACCCGGTGTCTCTTCTAAAAGGGCTGGAACACAGCCTGGATTCCTGTCAGTTGTAGATAGATCTGGACCAATCGTCACCTTAGGCTACCTGCGGCGTCCGTGGAAGGTTATAAAACGAAGCCGCCTGAGTTCCTTGTAGCCCTGTGTCTCTACATGGAGAAGGAAGGATGGGAGTTTTGGGTTCTCCCTCACCTCCTCACTTCCTTGTGGTCGAACTCTAAGGAGGGATGGGGTTGTTTGGGCAGAGCCTTCCAGAGGAAGTATGTTTTGAGAGCCCTAAGGCAGAGAATTTTAGCTGTCCTCGGGACTGATGGGTTTGGCCACTGGGAAGGCAGCCGGTAGGTAAAATAGTAAGATGGTGGCGGGAAGCCTCCTGCTTCTGGCTTAGAGCAGCCCTCCACTCCCATTGATGTTTCTGCCATCCTCCAGGTTTCAGTTTGCTCTGGACCTTGGTTTTTTTTTTTGTTGTTGTTGTTTGTTTGTTTTGTTTTGTTTTTTTGTACTGAAGGGAAACGCTGTGTATAATAGTTGCCATTATAAGGATGGTGGCGCACGCCTTGGATCCCAGCACTCGGGAGGCAGAGGCAGGCGGATCTCTGTGAATTTTGAGGCCAGCCTGGGCTACAAAGCAAGTTCCAGTACAGCCAGGACCGTTACACAGAGAAACCCGGTCTCGAAAAACAAAAACAAAACAAACAAACAAACAAAAAAGTATTTGCCATTACATGCCATTACAGGAATACAAGGCCTGAGGAAACAGGAGTCTATCTTTTAGCGAGCATCTCTGAGGTCCATAATTTACAAATAAAAATGGTGAACTCCAGCCTCTTTCCAGACTCCCTGTTTTGTGAATGAGGTCACTAGCCCAGAGAGGAAGGAGCCTGGTGTCCTAGACTGCAGATCTTGTGACCTGGAGATAAGGCTCTTGACCACTGACTGCACCCAGGGTCTGCAAGCCATACCTAGAAGGACTAGTTGATAAAACAAGCAGCTTCTGTCTGTCATCTGCTCTTGCCAACAGAGTAGGGCAGAGGGTTGAAGAAAGTTCATTACTTATGCCCAGAAGGGTTGAGTCTGTGAGCCAAGGTACAATATTTTGTCTTGCCACCCTTTCCTCCCCTCTGGAGATCCAGTGCCTCCTTCCATTATTGAGTCATACCTACAAGGGAATATTGTCACTGTGAAAACATCTTGGTTGTTGCAGAGACTCACCCCAGTACATTTCCTATCATCGAGATCTTTCCACCGTACTGGGCATGGTTGTGGTCGCTACCCGATTCCTTTGTTTTTATTTGGTTTTGATGTCTACAGGTATGTGGTCCTGACCACAAAGCATCATGAAGGCTTCACAAACTGGCCAAGTCCTGTGTCTTGGAACTGGAACTCAAAGGACGTGGGGCCCCATCGTGATTTGGTTGGTGAGTTGGGAGCTGCTGTTCGGAAGAGGTGCGTGTCTGTAGACAGCTAGCCTTCCTGCGGTCTTAACCACCCATCCCTCCAGATGGGTCTCGTCTTGTTTGTCTGCTGGGGGCATATTTAGCCAGTGAGAAGGTGGGCTCCCAGACTTGGAGTTTGAGATTTGGCAGTTTTCACAGGTCCAAAGGTGATCCAATGGAAAAAGTTCACAGTGGGATGGACACTCAGCGTAGACTATGATGGTCCATTTGCAGCCTGCTAAAGAGTCCCATGGAAGCTTGCAATACAGAGCCTTTTCTTCCTTATTTATCTATTTATTTATTTATTTTTGTTTTGTTTTTTTCAAGACAAGAGTTTCTTTGTGTAGCCTTGGCTACTGTAGCTCTGTAGACCAGGCTAACCTCAAACTCACAGAGATCTACCTGCCTCCACCCCCTGAGTACTGGGATTAAAGGCCTGAGCCACCACTTCCCAGTTTAGAGCCTTTTCCAGTATGTGACAGGCCAGGGACTGGGTCTCACCTTTCTCCTCAGCAGCCACCCACCAGCACCCAGCCAGCACAGAGCTGTTCAGGCCTGAGGGCAAGCTCTGATAATGGCAGGTTGCATTCGGTGATTCTAGCACTTGGGAGGCAAAGGCAGGAGGGTCAGGAGTTCAAGGCTGACCTTAGATATAGACTGAGTTTGAGGCTAGCCTGGACTACAGAAGATTGTATCTCAAAGGGCTAAATAAAAATAATAGTAGGAATTAATTTCTCAATATAGAAGCAGTAGGATGTGGCAGAGATAGAATAGTTTTGGGTTTTGGAGCTGACGAACACAAGACCTCATGAATATTAAGTGGTTGCTCTTCCACTGAATGTATTAGTTACTTGTGTGTCGGTGACCGCCATACCTGTTAGAAACAACTTCAGGAAAGGAAAGTTGATTTTTAGAGGGTTTCAGTCCACCATGGTGGGGCACGTGCATTCATGGCAGCCACACACTGTGGTAGAGGTTATTTATTTACCTAAACATGATGAGGGAGCAGACAGGCAGTTTGTCCTTCAGAGCCCTCGTGACTGCTCACTTCTGCCAGCATGTCCCACCTTGTAAAGGTTCGGCAGATTCCCAAAATAGCACCATCAGCCAGGGAACAAGCCTTCAAAACGTGAGCCTGGGGGAGACTTTGCAGATGCAAACTGTAACACAGAGCCGCATCCCCAGCCACCGGCGTGGGATGGAACCTGGACTCAGGGGTTCAGGTTTGGAACCCTGCTGGCTGTGCTTTGCCTCTAAGAAAGAAAAGGACTTTGGGTTGTGACTTGGTAAGTGTGGCTTCCTGTATGAGGGATAGGCTGACTGCCTGCTTGTGAAAGTCAAGTGTGATTGGAACCCAGCCATGCCTTGTATCACACACTGCCACGCACTGTCTCATGGAACATGTTGAGAGCTGAGACAGAGGCCACAGCTTACCAAATCCAATGAACTTCCTGTTCCTTTAAGAATGCATTTGCTGACTCTTGTGACCGGCTTGGTGTTCTGTGCCCCATGAAGCACTTGCCCAAAAATCCTGCCGGAAATGTCGGTCTGATCTTAGACAGGGATCAGATATAGACTTTGGAAGTAGCCGTTTTCTTCTGGTTTGGTTTGGTTTGGTTTTATAAGACGGGACCTTGTTCTGTATCCCTGGAGAGCTTGGAACTCACTCTGCAGACTAGGCTGCTTTCTAACTTGAAGCAAATCTCTTGCCTCTGCCTTCCCGGTACTGGGGTCCAGGCCTGTGGCAACATGCCCAGCCTCAGTAGGCTGGATTGGTAGCGTCTTTGTAAGTGGTTAACCCCCGAGTCACATGCTGAAATACTCCTCTCCAGTTCTTTCTTGTCTATGCTTTGCTGTGTTATTTTCTTCATTACCTGCATTATAGTGTCTGTGTAGACCCATATCTTAATGAACTGTAGTAATGGTACATTTTTATGAGGCACAGTGTGACACAGTGTATAATGAACTAATTGGAGTAATTATCATTTCTAGCTCCTTAATCGTTTGTCATTTGTTTGTGTTAGGAACCTTCAAATGCTTTTCTTGTAGTTCTTTAAAAGACATTTAATAGGGGTAGGGATGTAGCTTATGACAGAATGCTTACCTAACTTAGCTGAGGCCCTGGCTTTGATTCCCAGCACCATAAAAAAATGAAGTAAGATTTTAAAAAATGAAATATATACCAAGTATGGTGGCATGTGCCTTTAATCCCAGCACTAGGTAGGCAGAGGCAGGTTTATCTCTGGGAGTTTGGGGCTAGCCTGGTCTACATACCCAGTTCTAGGCCAGCCAGGGCTACATAGTGAGACCCTGTCTCAAAAAAAAGTCTATTAAATAAATAAAGAATCTCAAATAGCTTAGGCTGACATTAAACCCACTTGGTAGCCAAGAATGACCTTGAACTCTTGATCTTCCTACCTCCCCCTCCTAAGTGCTGACACCACACCCAGCCTTATTTTTTCTCTGCCTAATGCCAGCTGCTGTTGTATTTTTCTGCTTAAGGAACTTACGCTATGGCCTCTACCACTCACTCTTGGAATGGTTCCATCCACTCTACCTGCTTGATAAGAAGAACAGCTTCAAAACTCAGCATTTTGTCAGCGCGAAAACAATGCCAGAGCTGTATGACCTTGTTAACAGGTGAGAGACAGAGGGGCCGGGCCCGGCAACGTGTATTTGAAGTCAGCTGCCTCCAGGATGCTGTTAAGGGCTCCAGCCGGAGGCTGCTGTATAAGGCATTAAAATAATAAAAATGACGTTTGTATTAATGCAAAGCACGTTTCCCCTCCCACCTCTCAGAACTTCTGGACTGTGGTCACTTACTAAGTTGCTGCAGTCACAGGAAACCCAGGTGGCAGTGAGTCAAAGTGCCCTCCTCCCTTGCCATTGTCCCTAGTCAGGACCTTGGAGAGGGGGCACTGGCACCTTGGTGATCACAAGCTGTAACCAGAGCATCCTGAGCACAGATCCTGCTCAGTGAGAACTGTGTGTCTGGTCTGGGGCTTAGATCTCTCTCACTGTCACAGTGCTGGGCACAGGAAGGAGAGCCGCTGTTGAAACTAGGGTCACCATTCCCAAATTGGAATTTGTTGCTAACGTGCCCCATGTTTGCTTTCACTTTCGTTATTTAGTGGGGATGATGTCCACAACACATGTGTACAGGGAAGTTAGTTTTTTCTTTTTACCTTGTGGACCCCAGGGATCAGAGTCGGGTCATCAGGCTTGATGGCAAGCACTTCCACCCACTGAGGCCCCCCCCAACCCCCCCACTCCTCCCACCCCCCCCCCACCCACCCCCCCACTCCTCCCACCCCCCCCCCCACCCCACCCCCCCCGCCCCCAGCCCGTTCATAAGCTTTTCCCTTGTGACATCCGGGAACCACCTCTGGATGAGGGACGCTAGTAGTCGAAGGGGCGGCTTCTTTGCCCCGCTTTCGTTTTATATGTTTTGTTTTTGTTATGTTTGGTTTCTTTACTTTCTTCCTTTTGGTTTTTCAAGACAGGGTTTCTCTGCACCTTCAAATCCATGGTACTAAAATGTGCATAATAATGCTTATCTTCGACCTTCACATTTATACACACTGTAGGCTCACAACAGTAAGAATGTAGAAGGTGCCCTAGGTCCCAGAAGGCCTTTCCAGCCCAACTAGGTAGCTGCCAAGAACAGATCAGTGTCATGGTTCAAATGTTTACAACATCCACAAAGCAAACATCTTCATTTTGTACTTCTGGAATACCAGGGGCTCACTGTGTAGCCCAGGCTAGCCTCTAATTTGTAATCTCCTGACTCAGGTTCCCAAGTGCTATGATTACAGGCATGAGCCACCACACCTGGCTTTTTTTATTTTCTCTGTGTAGCTTTGGAGCCTGTCCTGGAACTCACTCTGTAGCCCAGGCTGGCCTCAAACTCACAGAGATCCGCCTGCCTCTGCCTCCCAAGTGCTGGGATTAAAGGCGTGTGCCACCACTGCCCGGCTGTTATTGTTTTTTAATCACATTTTATTATTTCATGTCCTGAGTATGTATTATATGGGCACGTATGTGCCACAGCACACACATGGAAGTCAGAGAACAACTGTGGAAGTCAGTCAGTTGTCTTTCCTTGTGCATTCGGGGATCAAACTCAGGTCATCAGACTTGAGAGGCCATCTGGCCTGCCCAAGCACCAACCTCTTTTCCAGAACGTATTTATTATTTATGTGTAGTCTATACGGCCAAGAGGCCAGAGGGCATCGATTCCCTGTGATAAGAGTTACAGGTGGTTGTGAGCGCCATGTGGGTGCTGGGAACCAAGCCCAGGTCCTCTGCAAGCAGTAAGCCCCCTCACTCCCTGAGCAGTCTCTCCAGCCCTGTGAGCGCCACCCCTAACTGGAGTTAGTTGCTTGAGGGGAAGCAAAGTGTAGATACTGATTACCTTTCTAAAACGGGGAACAGGGAGATCAGGGGACGTGTACGGAAGCAATGTGTTCTTTGTTATTGTTGTTATTATTATTGTTATTGCATTTTAATTTATTTAGGGTGTGTGTGCATGCATGTGCCAGGTTGTGGATGTAGAGGTCAGAGGACCACTTGCAGGAGTGGCACCCAGGGATTGAACTTGGGTCATCAGACTTGGCAAGTAGGCACCTTTCCATATGGAGCCCTTCACCAACCCCTGCAGTTCTTTTTTTAAGTAAAGTTTTTATTTTATATGTGTGGCTGTTTTGCTTGCATGTGTGTCTATGCACTCTGTGTGTGCCTGGTGCCAACAGAGGCCAGAAGAGGGCATCATGTCCTGGGGCACTGGAGTTACAGGTGATTGTGAGCCTCCTTGTGGGTGCAGGAATCAAACTTGAGTCCTGTGGAAGAGCAGCCAGTGCTTTTACCTACTCAGCCAGCTCTCCGCACGCCCTCCCTGAGGCTCTTTTAGATTTCTTATCTCTTTAGTTTCTGAGTTGTAATTTTTATGGTACTTTCCAGTCAAGAGACTTTTCTTCTTGATGGGCTAGGAATGGAACCCACGGCCTCACGTGTGGTAGGCAAGTGCCCTACCACAGAGCCATACTCCCGTCTCTAATTTTTGAATATTTGTTGCAAACTCTGACTGAACTAGATATAGATGCAGATAGCAAACCATTCTGATCACGTGTCTTCCAGCTACAAACCCGACCTGATCTGGTCTGATGGGGAGTGGGAGTGTCCTGATACTTACTGGAACTCCACAGCTTTCCTTGCCTGGCTCTATAATGATAGCCCTGTCAAGGTAGGTAATTATCTAACTTACTTATTAGTGGTTCTGATAAAAGAACATGATGGGTGTAGTGATACTTGGCAGTCATCTCAGCCTGTAGGCCGTGGCAGGGGGAATTCACAGCAATCCTCCTGCCTCAGCTTCCCAAGAGCTGGGATTATGGGTGGATGGCACCACTCCTAGCTCTATATCCAAAATTTAAAGGGTACTTGTTGGTTAAGCGGCGCTTGTGGCTGGCCGTCGCCTGTGGCAGCCATGCCGACGGCAGAGAGCGCTGGATGCTGCAGTGGCGGAAGAATCACGAGCCATGGTTACCTTTTAGAGCTTTATTAGGAGAGAGAGAGAAAGACAGAGAGACAGAGAGACAGAGAGACTGTGTGAGAGAGAGAGAGAGAGAGAAAGAGACCGTGCGGAACACAGGCGAATACGGGGAAAGAGAGCCTGTGGAGGGGCACGCCCGCCTTTTAGGCTGGGACGCCACCGCAGGCTGGTGACGTAATAAGGACATACTTACAGTACTTAGCTAGCTAAACCCTCCCCAGGCAGTACAGCTAGCTAGTATATTTGCATCTTGTGTTATGGGACTTTTGCTGCGTGGCAGAAGTCTTAATCTTTGTGATAGAAAATGTCTGCCGGGCAGTGCCAGGCAGTGGTGGCTCACACCTTTAATCCCAGCACTCAGGAGGCAGAGCCAGGCGGATCTCTGTGAGTTCGAGGCCAGCCTGGTCTATAGAGCCAGATCCAGGAAAGGCACCAAAACTACACAGAGAAACTCTGTCTCGAAAACCCCGGGGAGGCGTGCGGGGATGTCAAAGATTTTACATGCTCTAGATTTGTAGGTTTTAAAGAAAAATCTAAGTATAAAGCAGCTTGGTAGTTGGAGGTCTAGCTTAGTGGTAGGGCACTTGCTTATCATGCAGGGGACCCTGGATTTAACTCAAACACCAAAACTAAGGTTGGATGAAGATGCCCCGGTGGGTCCCTGTCTGTGTGGGTCTTACTGGGTAGTTATTATTAAACTCAGGATATGGGAAGAAGGGGAGAGAGAAGAGAGACACCCTTCCCTGAGTGAAGGATGCTGATTGGGGGTAGTCCTCATGGACTGGAGTGTACTTCACTGCGAGAGCATGTTAACGTATGCAAGGCTTGTGTTCAGGGACTTGCCAAGTCTCAGGACTCCCAGATGTGCATTTCATCCCCAGGTAGTTAATGCTGACAGAATGCCAGGGTCTGAATTGTCCACATCTGTCTCCTCTACAAGTCTCTGCTTAAAGTTTAAAGGGCAAACACTGTGTTATTCACCGTGGCACCCCTGTCTCTGCCACAGAGAAATAATTATGAGTGAGCAGTTGACTGCCCATCAAGACTTGAGATGGGCCAGGTATGGTGGTACATGCCTTTAATCCTAGCATTCAGGAGACAGGAGGATCTCTGTGAGTTGAAGGCCAGCCTGGTCTGCACAGTGAGCTCCCAGGCCACTCAGGGCTATAGTGAGTCTGTCTCAAGAAACAAACAAACAAACAAACAAGGTCTGAGGGGCCTTGTCCCTGCCTCCTCTGGGCTGTGCCTCCATGGAGCCAGGTCATCTGCTGCATGAGATGACAGCCACACGTGCCTGAGTAAGGAGAGTCACAGTAAGGGAACAAAGGTAAACCAAGATGCAGCCTTGGTGAAGCAAGCAATTGTCATCCACAAGTATTTGAAAACCACAGCAAAGTCGGGCAGTGGTGGCGCACACCTTTAATCCCAGTACTTGGGCAGGGGGATCTCTGTGAATTCCAGGCCAACCTGGTCTACAGAGTGAGTTCTAGGTCAGCCAGGGCTACACAGAGATACCCTGTCTCAAAAACAAAACAACATAACCCTCAGCAAGAGCGAGGGAGAGGGCTCAATGGTTAGAGCAAGCACTGCTTGAAGTTCCTTTCCCAACACGCATATGGTGGATCACAACCTCCTGGAACGCCAGTAAAAGCAGCTGGCACCCTCTTCTGGCCTCCCTGGATACTGCACACGTGCGCAGACTTAGCAAGCAAAACATTCATACACACTTTTTGATTTATTTATTTACTATATGTGTGTATGTATGTATGTCTGAGTACCTTTATGTGTTCTGTGTGCATGCAAAAGCCCATAGAGGCCAGAAGAGGGCACCAGATCTCCTATAACTAGAGTTCCAGGTGGTTATGGTCACCGTGTGAGCTGGGAAACAAACCCAGGTCCACTTCGAGAGCAGTAACTGCTCTTAACCATGGAGCCATCTCACCAGACTCCCCAAACACGTTTTTAAAAGATGATGTTATTTATGTGAATAGGTGTTTTGTCTGCATGATTTATGTGTGTGCAGGAGCCAGTGGAGGCCAGGAGAGGGTGTTGGATCCCCTGGGACTGGAGTTATAGGAGGTTGAGTCACCATGTGGGTGCTGGGAACCGAGCTCACATCCTTTGTAAGAGCATCAAACACTCATAACTGGGGCCGTCTCTCCAGTCCCATGAGTGCTGCAGAGTTCCCATGCTTTTACAGCAAGGACTTCGCCCACTGCGCCATCATCCCCTGAGCCCCCCCAGACAATCTCTAAAACCATCCCTGCAGGCACACTCCCTCTGTGCATCTCTCGGCTGACTTCCTGGGCTTTGCGGACATTAGAGGCTGGATGCTTCTCTGTCTGAACACTGTCTTCCACACTGTAGGACGGTAGTCGTCAACTCTGGCTTCTCCTGCTGGGTATCAGCACCGCCCTCATGAGGACAACCGAAGCTGTCAGCTTTCCCATGTGTGCCCTTTAGAGCAATAGCCCCAGGGGAAACCACTAATGTAGTCCTGCTGTTCTTCCTTCCGACGTATCTGTGCTGCATAAAGGAGCGGGAGGTGCTGCTCCAGTGACCCCGTTCTCCTTCCCCTTAGGATCAGGTGGTAGTGAATGACCGGTGGGGTCAGAACTGCTCCTGTCATCACGGAGGCTACTACAACTGTCAAGATAAATACACCCCACACAGCTTGCCAAGGCACAAGTGGGAGATGTGCACCAGCGTGGACAGGTCGTCCTGGGGCTATCGGCGTGACATGACCTTGTCTACCATTGCCAGTGAAAATGAAATCATTGAGGTAAGAGCACTCCACCATGGTGGTTTTAACTGCTTACCTCAAAGCAGCCCTCTGACTCGGAGTAGGGTTGCTAGAACCTGCTTGGGCCACAGTACTCGGAGACAAACCTCTCCTAAGCACATTGTCATTATCGCTGTTACAGAGAAGCAGGTTGGGGCTTTGAAAACCTTTTTTTTTCTTTTTTCTTTTTTGTCTTTTTGAGACAGTTTTCTCTGCATAGCCTTGGCTGTCCTGGAATTCGCTTTGTAGAACAGACTGGCCTCGAACTCACAGAGATCTGCCTGCCTCTGCCTCCCAAGTGCTGTGATTAAAGGCGTGCACCACCATATCTAGCTGAAACCTTTTTTAAATTACATCTCTTTATTTGTTTTGGGGTTGGGGCAAGTGTGTGCCACAGTGCACATGGAGAGGTCAGCAGACCACCTGACAGTCACTTCTGTCCTTCCATCCTGTGAGTCCTGGGGATCAAACTTAGGTCATTCATCTTGGTGGCCTTGGCCATCTTCTCAGCCGCAGGGAAAGTTTTATCTACACAGGTGTTCTTTCCAGAACTTTCCTTCCTTTTTCTTCTTTGTTGCGAGGGTGTATGTGCATATGTACATGTGTGTTTGTGACGGGCACAACCGGAGGGGTGATTCCTCAGGTTCCATCTATGAGGGAGGGGCACGATCTCTTACTAGCCTGGAACTGGCCATTCAGCTGGCTCTCTGGCCAGGAAGCCACGGCAAGCCTTTGTTTCTGCTCCCCAGGACGAAGATTACAAGCACACACTACACCACAACCTCCAGATTTTGTTGGTGTTTGTTGATTTGGGTGTGTTTTGTTTGAACATGAGTTCTGAGGATGAACTCAGGTCTTCTTGCTTATAAGGCAAGCACTCACCCTCTGGGCCATCATCGTCCAAGCCCCTTCCCAGGAGTGTTTTCAGTTAGCACATGAGTGGCTTCCGTTTCTTGGAACTATAGTCAGTAATTCAGTAGGCAGGAGGACTCTCTGTGAGCACTACGGTACAGAAGAGTGCTCAGCTGGCTGGGGCTGGGGTGGCGGGATGGAGTGTCACATACAGCTGCAACTTAGGGAGACGTGTGCCGTCATGCTCGGCTCTAAAGTGTAACTCACCTTCCCTTTTTCCCTTTGCAGTGCTAAGGATTGAACCCAGGGCTTTTCTTCTCTTGATGTCCCTTCCTGATCTGAATATTTAGACACCATGCCAGGCATGTTAGTCAGGCCTCAGCTTTCATTGTCTCTGCTCTCTTTAGGAATTGGTTCAGACAGTAAGTCTGGGAGGCAACTATCTTCTCAACATTGGACCAACTAAGGATGGACTGATCGTTCCCATCTTCCAAGAAAGACTTCTTGCTGTGGGCAAGTGGCTGCAGATCAATGGGGAGGCCATCTATGCCTCTAAACCCTGGAGAGTGCAGTCCGAAAAGAACGTGACAATTGTGTGGTGAGCCTTGTCTTCTTGTACGTCAGGAGGAGGATTGACGATAGCTGTGTTTTCAGTTCTGCATGAGAGTACAGCCCAAGTGAAAGAATAAATAGCAAGAGATGATGGATGGATGGATGGATGGATGGATGGATGGATGGGTGGGTGGGTGGGTGGATGGATGGGTGGATGGATGGGTGGGTGGGTGGGTGGGTGGATGGTGGGTGGATGGGTGGATGGATGGGTGGGTGGATGGATGGATGGGTGGGTGGGTGGGTGGATGGATGGGTGGATGGATGGGTGGGTGGGTGGGTGGATGGGTGGATGGATGGATGGATGGATGGATGGGTGGGTGGGTGGATGGATGGGTGGGTGGGTGGGTGGATGGATGGGTGGATGGATGGGTGGGTGGGTGGGTGGGTGGGTGGGTGGGTGGATGGATGGGTGGGTGGGTGGGTGGGTGGGTGGGTGGGTGGATGGGTGGGTGGGTGGGTGGATGGATGGGTGGGTGGGTGGGTGGGTGGGTGGATGGATGGATGGGTGGGTGGATGGATGGGTGGATGGGTGGATATATGGGGGGTGGCAAAATATCATCAAACTGGGTAATGCCCAACAGAAATAGATCGTTTGGGGAAACTGATTTATGGCTGGAGCTCCTGTTAGAGGGTGGGTCCTAGGTAGAGCAGAGTGGGGCTTCTAACTAAGCAAGTAACAGCAACAAATTGACATCATCTGACTCTGAGGCTCACAAACACCCAGCAGAAGTAGACTGGGGAAGTTGGGGCAGTCAGCTGGAGTTCCAAATTCACTTTCTCTCCATGGACTTAACTGCCCATGGCTGAACCTCTGGCTTCCCGTTCCCCCTACAGGCACTTTTATATCGGGATAAATAATGGGACCCTGTTGGGGATGGCTGACCTAGCTGTTCTCAGGTTTTGCTCTTGGGCTGTTCTGCTGTTTCCCTCCCTGACAGAGGGTTAGGGGGCAGCCCAACCCCTCACAAAAGGGACCTTAGGACACTTTGAGACAAACATATGCAAAATGTGGCCAGGGGCACCCCGCTTCCCCAAGCAGCTTCTTCTTTTTTTTTTTTTTTTTTTGAGACTGTAACAGTCCTAGCTGTCCTGGAACTCTTTGTAGACCAGGCTGGCCTTGAACACAGAGATCTACCTGCCTCTGCCTCCCGAGTGCTGGGATTAAAGGCGTGTGCCACCATTGCCCACCCCCAAGCCAGCTTCTAAGTGAACTCAAACAACACTTGACAATTTATCAGTATGTTGTACATCACACTTGTGATGAGTGCCAGCATGGCCTGTGGCTCCTGCTGTCCTGGCACACTCTCGGGTCTCTCCATCCTGGTCACAAGGCTGGAAGTTGTCTTGCCTCTTGCTGTAAAATTCCTGTCCCAGCTGGGTTCTATCTCCAGTCACCCTCCATCCTAAATTCTTCCTGTTCATACCTGGACCTCTAGATCTAGTTCTTCCCCCCTGGAACTGAGGACTGAACCCAGGGCCTTGCACTTGCTAGGCAAGTACTCTACCACTGAGCTAAATCCCCAACCCCTAGATCTAGTTCTTTGATCTTGGACCCCAGGGTCTTCGGCTGCAAAGTGGGTGCTGGTACTTAGCTTCCCAGACTTGCTTTGTAGGCTAGGTGACATAATGTGTGTGAGGACCCAGCAGAGTGGCAGGCCTGAGCTCAGCGTCCTGTCAAGGGAGACTGGTGTCACACCAGAGCACCTCGCTCTCCCACTGGGGACACGTTAATCCCTGCGGATGAATTTCTGTGAGGTGGTTTTCATTCTGTTCCTGAGCATGTCACCATTGCGAGTGTTCCCTTGGTTATACCCTCTGCTGTCTTCTATGGAGCTGGAGTTGAGAAGATTTCAGTCCTAGTTAGCAGGGAGGTCACTAGTTCATGCTTTGGTGTTGTTGCTGCGTGGGTCATGATCTCACCATATTCCTTGGCTGTGCCCAACCCCTAGGCTCAAACTATCCTCTTGCCTCAGCCTCCTTAGTAGCTGGGGTTATATGTGTGCATCACCACACCCAGGAGTTCTTGTGTTTGTTTGTTTGTTTGTTTTTGGTTTTTTGAGACAGGATTTCTCTGTGTAGCTTTGTGCCTTTCCTGGATCTCGCTCTGTAGACCAGGCTGGCCTCGAACTCACAGAGATCCGCCTGGCTCTGCCTCCCGAGTGCTGGGATTAAAGGTGTGCGCCACCACCGCCTGGCTTGTTTGTTTGTTTTTATATTTGGGGTTTTGTTTTTGTTGTTGTTGTTGTTTGAGACAGGGTTTCTCTGTAGCCCTGACTGTCCTGGATCTCACTCTGTAGACCAGGCTGGCCTTGAACTCAGAGATCCGCCTGGCTCTGCCTCCCAGTCCTGGGATTAAGGGCATGTGCCATTGCTGCCTGGCAGCAAAGGTTATTGAATCAGCAGGGGAAGGTCTGGAAAACTGCTGCCCAAGGGTTAATTTTAATTTTTAAAGAAATCTTAATCCAGTGAAGAGGATACTAGAGGATTTCAAAGAGTTTTCTATACCCCTTCCTCCTTCCCTTCCTCTCACTTCCTAGTACTTGACGAACACAAGGTCTTTAATGGGTGAGTTATATAAAGGGGATTGAGGGTCTGTCAGGGAACACCACTCAGTGTTCCATGGCCCCGTGGCCAACGGTGTTTCTTGTTCCCAGGTACACTGCTAAAGACTCAGCAGTTTATGCTACTTTTCTGCACTGGCCAGAAAATGGAATCATAAACCTTAAATCCCCCCAAACGACCTCGACCACAAAGGTAAGGAAGCTCGTGGACCTATAACTTGTCTTTGTTTTATTTCCCAGTGCGTGCTTAGGCATGCACTCCACTACTGTACTGATACAGTGGTTGGTTGGTTTGTTTTTTAAGCCAGGTTCTCTCTCTCTCTCTTTCTCCTCAAGACAGGGTTTCTCTATCTGTCCTGGAACTACGGCCCTGGCTGTCCTGGAACTCATTTTGTAGACCAGGCTGGCCTTGAACTCACAGAGATCCGCCTGCCTCTGCCTCCTGAGTGCTGGGATCAAAGATGAGCCAGGTTCTTTGTGCAGCCCAGGCTAGCCTCAACCTGTGGTCCTCCTGTCTCCACCTTCCCGGTGCTAAGACTCCGGGCTTATGTCACCATGCCTGGATAGATGTAACTTTTATGAAAAAGCAAAGAAATGAAAGAGAGGCTTTCGCTTCTTCCTTCCTTCCTTCCTTCCTTCCTTCCTTCCTTCCTTCCTTCCTTCCTTCCTTCCTCATGTATGGTCCACCAGAGTGTCCCCACTGCCGTGGTCCAGCACACCCGTGAATAACGGGATCTTTCCATCCCCTTGCTTTCCGCAGATAACGATGCTAGGACTGGAGGGAGATTTGACCTGGACCCGGGATCCGCAGGAGGGGGTCCTCATCTCTCTGCCCTCGTTGCCACCCAGTGCTCTTTCCGTGCAGTATGCCTGGACTCTAAAGCTGACAAAAGTGAAGTGATTGTTGTTCGAGAGCAGATGGCCTGTGCACGGCTTTGCCTTTCTCTTACAGGACCGTCAGTGCAATAAAGTAGCTTCCCTTCCCCACCCAGTGACGGCTTCCCCAGCCTATTTTAATCAATGGGACCCTAGTACACTGAGTCGCCGAATGAATCGATTGAAGACGGGAGATCCATGGCTGGCGTCTCTCTGGTGAGCAGAAAGGCCCGGACAGCTCAGCTGAGCTCACCTGTTTCATCACTAGAGTGAAATCTCCCTTTCTGATGACGAGCCAAGTCACCTGTTGCCTGTGGGAGCGGGTCAGAGGTCTGGCAAACCCAAGCCCCTGTGCCTTACATTGGTTGTCACTAATCCCGGGGGCATTACACCGGTCCCGAAGGGTTTGCCAGGCCGCCAAGGTTACCTCTTTGGAAGTTTGCAAAGCCAAAGCTCTGGCATTGAGCATGTCTTCAGAGATACTGATGAAGGAATGTGATTCTACCTTGCCCTTTAAAAAAGATGGAAGTAAATTTGTGTGTCAGATTATGTCTACCAAAAGCATGTCATAGTTTTCTTTCCCCAGATTCCGTTTGGGCTGTTTGTAGCCTTTTACTCATTTTCTGGCTTTGTGTGTGTGTGTGTGTGTGTGTGTGTGTGTGTGTGTGTGTGTGTGTGTGTGTGTGTGTGTTTCGAGACAGGGTTTCTCTGTGTAGCCCTGACTGTCCTGGATCTCGCTCTGTAGACCAGGCTGGCTTCGAACTCAGAGATCCACCTGCCCCTGCCTCCCAAGTGCTGGGATTAAAGATGTGCTCCACCACTGCCCGCCCTACACCCAGATTTTTTTTTTTTTTTGGTTTTTCGAGACAGGGTTTCTCTGTGTAGCTTTGCGCCTTTCCTGGAACTGGCTTGGTAGTCCAGGCTGGCCTCGAACTCACAGAGATCCGCCTGGCTCTGCCTCCCGAGTGCTGGGATTAAAGGCGTGCGCCACCACCGCCCGGCGTACACCCAGATTTTTAAACAATAAAATATCGAGAAGACTGGAGAGACGGCTCAGCAGAGGATCAGGGCTTGGTTCCTAACACTCATGACAGTTCACAGCTGTCTGCAACTCCAGTTCCAGAGAGAAGGCCTGTTGCCCTCTGCTGGCTTCTGTGGGCACTGTTTGTACACTGTGGTGTACAAACACACACAGACAAAAACGCCCATAAACAAAAATTAATCATTAAGAACAATAGTGTGAATATCTTTATATCAAGATTTTTAAACATGGCTGGGTGTTGGTATCTGTTATAAGTCTAGCACTCAGAAGCAGGGGGATAAAGAATTCAAAACCAGGCTCTGGTGTAGACCAAGTTTGAAGCCAATCTGAGCTACATGAAACTCTGTCTCAAAACCAATGGGGCTGGAGAGACGGCTGAGCAGTTAGAGTTCCTACTGCTATTGCGGGGGACAGAGTTTGGCTCCCAGCACTTATAGATAGCTCGACAACCACCTGGAACTCCAGCTCTAAGGAATCCAGTGTTCTCTTCTGCCCTCCAAGGTTACTGACTCTCTTCCCATACCCATACAAAGGCACACAAGAAATTCAAATCTGGCCAGGCAGTGGTGGTGCACATCTTTAATACCAGCACTCGGGAGGCAGAACCAGGCAGATCTCTGAGTTTGAGGCCAGCCTGGTCTACAGAGCAAGATCCAGGACAGGCACCAAAACTACATAGAGAAACCCTGTCTCGAAAAACCAAAATAATAATAATAATAATAATAATAATAATAATAAATAAAATCTATTTTATTGACATATAATTCACACTGTATGACTCACCCACTAAAAACGTACAGTTGGGCCAGTTATGGTGGTGCATGCCTATAATCCCAGCACTCAGGAGGCAGAGGCAGGTGGATCTCTGAGTTTGAGTCCAGCCTGGTCTACAGCGTGTGTTTGAGGGGAGCCAGGGAGACACAGAGAGACCCTGCCTCAAACAAAAAACCCACTTACAGTTGAGTGGCTTTTAGTGTATTTACAGGTTGTCCAGCCACCACTGCAGTAGTTAGAACAATCTCATCCCCATAAAAAGCAGTGGCTGTTAGAAGTCATCTCTCCAGCATCCTACCTCCAGACAGTCACTGTCACCTTCCGTGTCTATGAAGTCTTGTGTTCAGGGTCTAATGTCACTGTAATCCGGCAGCATGAGCTTCCTTGTTCATCTTCGGACACGTTGTAAGACATACAGCTTGAGGGCTGGAGAGATGGCTCAATGGTTGAGAGCATTGATTGTGTGTGTGTGTGTGTGTGTGTGTGTGTGTGTGTGTGTGTGTGTGTGTGTGCCGTATATGCCTGACGGTCAGGCTGACCTCAGTTTTAGCCCAAGGTCAGGCCAGGATTTGGCAATATTTTTTTTCTCGCTTCTCTCTTACTGTTGTCTCTAGGCATCAGGCACACATGTAGTACATAGACATACATACAGGCAAAGCAACCATACACAGAAATACATTGGTAATAACTTAAAAATCTGCTGGACATGGTGCCATACCTTTAACCTCAGCACTTAGGAGGCAGAGGCAGAGGCAGGCAGAGCTCTGAGAGGAATTTGAGGTCAGCCTTGTCTCTACAGAGTTCCAGGCCAGGCAGGACTACATAGTGAGACCCATCTCAGAAAAAGAAAAGGCCCCTCTGCTTGCTTGCTCTGTGCTGTGAGAAAGTCCTGATTAGTCCATGGGAAGGAACATACTATCTAGCTAGATGCAGGCTGCTGATGCCAGCCGGAAGTACATCAAGACAGAAAATGGAAGCTGGGCGGTGGTGGCACACACCTTTAATCCCAGCACTCAGGAGGCAGAGGCAGGTGGATCTCTATGAGTCTGAGGCAAGCCTGGTCTACAGAGTGAGTTCTAGGATAGGATAAAACAAAACAAAACAAAACAAAAAAAAGATAGAAAATGGAACTGCCTGCTCCTTGATGCAAGGCAGGATAGACAGTGGTTGAATGCCTGTGCTGTGCATTGTTCTACCTCTGTCCTTCAAACCTGTATATAAGCTTCTGTGAAATAAACTTGGGGCTGTCCAGCGTTGACTGGCAATCCTCTCGACTCTGTTCTGTCTCTTTTATTGTCTCTACAATCCGCATGCCTCTACCCAGCTACCCAGCTGACTGTCGGCAGGCTCCAACACTCTGGGGGTTTCTCGAAATGGGTACAACACTCATGGTTTTGGTGATGGTGACTGGGGCCAGTGGCGATGGCTGCAACTCCTCCTCGGGTGTGATGGTGACTAGGCCGATGGCAGCGGTGGGGCTCGCAGGGCTCTCTGGGGTCTGCTCTCCTCTCCAGCTACCGATCGAACTCTTTGCAAGATTTTTTTTTTTTTAATGTGTGTTGGGGCTAGAGAGATGGCTCAGAGGTTAAGAGCTCTGGCTGCTCTTCCAGAGGACCCAAGTTCAATCCAGAGGGCCCAGCAACCACATGGTGGCTTACAACCATCTATGAGAGCTGGTACTCTCTCCTGCCTGCAGGCACACATGCAGGCAGAACATTGTATGCATAATAAATAAATAAATCAGCCGGGCGGTGGTGGCGCATGCCTTTAGTCCCAGCACTCAGGAGGCAGAGCCAGGCGGATCTCTGTGAGTTCGAGGCCAGCCTGGTCTACAGCGCGAGATCTAGGAAAGGCGCAAAGCTACACAGAAAAACCCTGTCTCGAAAAACAAAACAAAACAAAAAAAAAAAGAAATAAAAATAAATAAATAAATAAATGTATAAAAAATTAAAAATGTATGTGCCTCGCATATGTGTGCCTGGGTGTTCTTGCCCATGTGTGCACATATGGAAGCCAGAGGTCAATATCCGGTGTCTTTTTTTTTTTTTTTTAAGATTTACTTATTATGTATACGTGTACACCTGCATCTCACTATAGATGGTTGTGAGCCACCAATCAGGGAACTGAACTCAGGACCTCTGGAAGAGCAGCCAGTGCTCTTAACCTCTAAGCCATCTCTCCAGCCCTAGATATATTTTTATTAATGTGTGTATTTCTGTGTCTGTAAATATCAGGTGTCTGTATCGTTGTTCTCACCTTACTTTTGGAGAAACAGCCTCCCACTGAATCCTGAACTCATCATTCTAACTAGATTGACTGGTCAGAAGCTCTAGGGATCCCCATTCCCCAGCACTGGGGTTAGGTATGTGCTGCCATGCCCTGATCTTTTGTGGATGCTGGGGTCCAACCCAGGTCTTCATGCTTGTGTGCAAAGGCTCCACCCTCAGGCCATCTCCTCACCCTCCAAGATCTAACTCTGTTGTGAGACAGTTGCAGCTCATCCTGGTTGGCCAGGAACGGTCTGGGGCTGAAGGTGACCTTGAAGATGACCCCCTGCTCCTCTAGAGGAACGCTGGGGTTAGAGGCCTGTGTGCCAACACTCCAGTGTATACTTTCTGCATTCTAGTCAGGCACTCTGCCAACTGAGCTACATCTCCAGCCAGCCTTCTGAATATCTCAGACTGCAGGAATTAACCACAACACCCAATAAGTTTATTTTACTTGGCTGGAGAGCCAACTCTGGACCCATGCTCAGTTCTCAACACCCATCTGTAACTTACAACCATCTGTAACTACAGCTCCAGAGAATCCAACAGTGCTCACATGCACATTCCCATATGCAGGCACACATACCTACATGTAATTAAAATAATTTTGTAAAATTTTAATTTTTTTTTTTTTTTTTGGTTTTTTGAGACGGGGTTTCTCTGTGTAGTTTTGGTGCCTGTCCTGGATCTCTTACTCTGTAGACCAGGCTGGCCTCGAATTCACAGAGATCTGCCTGGCTCTGCCTCCTGAGTGCTTGGATTAAAGGCATGTGCCACCATCACCCGGCTAAAATTTTAAATTTTTAAAAATTTAATTTTACTTTGCAGCCTGTTGGACATGTGTTGTAGACACAAAAGTTTAAATGATTAATTGATCTTATGCATATGAGTGTTTTGCCTGCATGCCTGTGCATCACATATATGCAGTGCTTGAGGGGCCAGAAGAAGGCATCAGATGCTCTGGAACTGGAGTTGCCAATGGTTGTGAGTTGCCGTGTGGGTGCTGGGAACTGAACTCAGGACCTCCGCAGATACAAGTGTTCTTAACTGCTGAGCCATCTCTCCAGCCTGTTTTACTACTCTACTATAATGTTCTCTGATACCCACTATTTCTTTATTTTCCATAATGACTGATACCCCCCAAGTGGCTACTGCACCAGTTAATGGGGTGCAGCAGGCAGACTGGTGTAGCAGGAATCTTAGAGTCTTATTAATAAAATCAAGCCGGGCGGTGGTGGCACACGCCTTTAATCCCAGCACTCGGGAGGCAGAGCCAGGCGGATCTCTGTGAGTTTGAGGCCAGCCTGGTCTCCAAAGCAAGTTCCAGGAAAGGCGCAAAGCTACACAGAGAAACCCTGTCTCGAAAAACCAAAAAAAAATAAAAATAAAAATAAAATAAAATAAAATAAAATCAAACCCGGGGCCAGTTATTGGGGTGAAATGCTGGATGATCAGAGAGACAGAACAAGCCACAGCTAACCTCACCTGACCAACTTCTCAGCTGGTCTTGTTTCCTCAGACTGGAAGCCTCTGTGTCCTCATATCCGATGGCTCTCAGCTGAACTGTGCTGCTAGAAGCCTGAAAGCTTGACCAGCCAAATGCTTCTAGTTTCTGGTCCTCACGCCTTATATACCTTTCTGCTTTCTACCACCACTCCCTGGGATTAAAGGCTCGCTTTCTGGGATTAAAGGCATGAGTCACCATGGCTGGCCGGTTCCAATGTGGCCTTGAACTCACAGGGATCCAGAGGGATCTCTACCTCTGGAGTGCTAGGATTAAAGGTGTGAGTGCCACCATTTTCTAGCCTTTGTATCTAGTGGCTGTTCTGTCTCTGACCCCAGATAAGTTTATTAGGGTGCACAATATTTTGGGTGAAAACAAAAAATACCACCACAGACTGGAGGACATGCCACTAGGCATTCAGTCTCCCTACCTCAGGGTCACTGCATTTGTATTTAATTTGTCTGGAAACCTTTTTGATTAACTTTAAATTTTTTTTTTTTTTGTTTCTTTGAGACAGTATCTCACTATATAGTCCTGGATGTCCTGGAGCTCACTGGGTAGACCAGGCAGACCTCCTGCCTCTGACTCCCAAGTGCTAGGATTAAAGCCGTGCACCCCTAAGCCCGACGGTGGCAGGTACCCGGCGGGCACCAGGGAGTCTCAGCTCAGGACCTTCTGCTATGCAGCAATGGTTTCCCCCACGGAGTCATCTCTCCAGCCCAGAGTTCTGCTAAATCCTGAAGGGAAGACTTTCAATCTTCTACTTGGTAAACTCCTCACTTGGATACTCTTACTCCTTCAAGCATGAATCAAAGAATGTTTTCTCGCCGAAGGTGATGCCGTCTGAAGATGGTGGCAGATACTTAATACATGCAGAAAACTCAGAACACAATAGAGAGCTGAGACGGGAGGCATGTGTCACCTTACCTGGCTAAAGTTTTACCCATCTCTATGTTCCTTGCTCCTTGCTTTCTATCTTTACAACAGAAGCCTGGAAAACTATATCAAGGGGGTGGTGGCTCACTCCTGTCAACATCTGGGAGGCTGAAGCTGGAGGATTGCCATGAGTTCGAGGACTAACTGGGTGATATGTAAGTTCCTGGTTAACTTGGGCTACATAGTATCAGAAAGCCAAAATCACAACAAAACCGAAAAACAATCCTGTCAAGTGGAGACTAACCAGGCGGGAAGGAAAACAGAGGCAGGCTGGGGGTGGAGCCAACTCAGGGAGCCATACGTCACGTACAAGGCCCCGCCCCACGCCTGGGTCACGCCCACAGCGGTCACGTGGGGCCCGGCGGGTGTGGCCACGGAGACTGGGCTAAGATGGCTACAGTGAGGAAAGCTTTCCCGCGGAGGCTGCTGGGCTTGGCGTCTCTCCGGGCTGTAAGTGCCCCAGGCGGGTGACAGTCGGGGTCGGGTGGGCCTCGTCGGCTGCTGTGACCCACAAAGCGGGGCAGCTCCAGGGGCCGGAGCCGGGAGGGTTTGAGAGTTCGGGACCCAGTCCATCTGGCTCAGATCCCTTTGCAGGAAACGGGGAAACTGAGGCGGGGAGCGGGGGGGGGGGGGGGAACGTGAAGCAATCCGCTGTCACCGTGGAGACCTGGGACATCATTCTGGGTGTCCTAACTCCCTTACGGTGGCCCTGGCTCCTTTCCCTCATTGAGCTTCGGATCTCTCCAGCCCTTCGTTAGTGGAAAACACGTCCCACGTGGAAAAAGCAAAAACTCGCCACTTTCCCCAGGTATTGTTGCTTTTCTGGACGCCTGGCGAGAACGTGGATCGCGCGGGCCGGGCAGGGATTCCCTCGGAACTGTACTTTGGGCCTGTTCGATCCTGGTGTTCCGTCCTCTCCCACGCGTAGTGAGGGGAGGGAAGGGGCCAAAGAACTGTGCTGGTTAAACCGCAGACTGGTGTCCGGATGAGCCTGCCACTTTCGAGGCTGAGTGACAGAGATACTTACTCAGCTTGCTTGAATATAAAATCTCTTTGTCTGGGGTGATTTGGTGAGTGATCAGTCATCGGTAGTGGCTTGGTGGAGTTGGACTTTGTGGGGATCAGCTCCCCGCTTCACCGCTCTACCACGGAGCTACATCTCAGCTCAGTGATGGGGTTATTATGATTATGTGTTGGAGAGTTTAGGCATTATATCAGTACTTGGGAAAACCACACTTTGCATCTCTTGGTCTCTCTCAGAAAACCACTTCTGTATCGTTAGTCTGCCCATCTCCACCGATTGCTCAGGGATCAAGTGAAAATACCAACTCCAGAAGTTAAGAAAGTTAAATGAGATGGTGGATAATAGTGTTTTATTTATTTGAAATAGAGTCTTTCTGTCTGTAACCCTGGCTGTCCTGGAACTCATTATTGTAGACCAGGCTGTTTGGAACTCACAGAGACCAGCCTGCCTCTGCCTGTAGGATTACAGGCATGCACCACCATGCCCAGCTAGATAATAACCATTTTTAAGAACCTGGTGTGGGGTTGATATATTATGCACCCC